GTAATTATTTAAAAATTATAAATTAATAAAATATTAATTAAACCAAATAAAATTTGTATGGTCTTAAGGTTGTTATGAATGGCCATAGCCACTTCCCTAAACTGAGATGTGGAAACCTTTGGGCCCTGCGTTCGACATAATCTAGTTGGATGGAACATCTATTCTTCTTTTTCTCCCCATATGCCTTCTTTGTGTCCTTGTTCTTTAATTATTGTTTTTTTGTATATATAACATAAAGTGCCTAATCTATTACCTAGTTGAGGAGTGCTAGGGGCACTCGCCTTCTGCACTCTCCGGCCGACACTGTCGCTTTTATTGGGCCACGTTATTTTGATCGGTAAGAGGTTGACCTCAGAGCGTGGAACAAGCTTACGTGACCCAATGAAAGGGGAAGTGTCGGCCGGAGAGTGCAAGAGGCGAGTGCCCCTAGCACTGCCCTTAGCTAGTTTGCCCATTGATGTGATGTGATTGCAAAGCCATGTTCTTCTATACAAGGCGTTGCTGTACGCTAAGTTCACAATGCTAACCTATAACTACAATGATAGATTTTTCAATTTTGTAATCTTTAAAAAAAAAAATCATAGCATAGCCACTTCCCTAAACTAAGATGTGGAAAAGTTTAATTTAGGCCTTGTGTTCTACATAATCTAGTTGGATTGAACATCTATTCTTCTTTTTCTGCTCGTATGCCTTCTTTATATCCTTGTTCTTTAATAATTGTTTTTTGTATCCATAACATAACCCGCCTAATCTATTAGTTAGTTTGCATATTGATGTAATTGCAAAGCCATGCTCTTCCTATGCAAGGCGTTGCCATAGACTAAGTTCACAATGCTGACTTATAACTATAATTATAGGTTTTTTAATTTTGTAATTTTTTAAAAAAAATTCATGGCATAGCCACTTCCCTAAATTGAGATGGGGAAAACTTTGGGCCTCGTGTTCGACATAATCTAGTTGGAAAGTTCCCTGCGGTTGTACTTGAAACTCATCAACATATATGCAACTATAATGGTTTCCTTTCCTATCTTGAAGCAACAGATTTCATCTTCTATCTTTACTTCCTCTTCTGCACCATTCTCGAAAATCAGTAAGTCGAGTAATTTATGTAAAGAATACTTCTGGTCCTTCCGGATTGTAGTCTTGCATGTAGCCAATATGACCAATGATGAACTAATATTTTTTCCAGGCCAGATTCTGAGGATTTTTTCCTTAATATGAGTAATGCGTACTTTATGCTGCTCCAGATTCTTGGTTCTGCTGACTCAAAACTCCACTACCATCCAAGGTTGGTGATTAAGTATCAGTTGAATGTAATCATGCAAAAGCTCCAAATTAATAAATAAAACTTTTATAATTTGTCATATTCTGCTTACATATCGTTGTCCTTTCCCTGCAGGGGTCGTCATTTTTTGGTTATTTGAAGAGCTGAATGTTTTCGTCTTGACTCCCTTGGAGACTGTAGTACGTAGATGGTTAAAATTGAAAGAATTGTATGCCCTACAAAGCCATCATTATTATTTATTTACATGCTTTTTTTGTGATTTAATAAATATTATTATTTTTAGATCATACATTAATTATATTGATTATGTGGATGATCAAATAAAAAAATTTGATGATATAAAAATTGTTCACAACCATAAACATGCTTTGAACAGTATGCATAACTTGGTTGTCATATGTTGTACTATTATAAGTGATAGAGTAGTAAACCTCAATTATTAGAGTAGAGATTTTTAGTGACATAGTGAGTATTTGTATAAGACAAATGTTGAACTAGACCATATAAAATAATCTTAAGTTAATTGTTGTCAAATAAAAGATTATTCTATTCACAATTCATAAAAGGCCCTTAAATTTAAAGATGTTATATACAAGTTATTTAGTTTTGATATTGTCAACTAATGATGCCCAATAATAGGATATATACTGACATAGTGGACTATATAATAAGTTGATGAAGATTTAAAGTCATTTAATAAGAAATTACCACTCTTATCGTAAGAAAGAATACTCAAACTTATGTCTCTTTTATGTTAGACGAAAATCTAGCTGGTCAATTTAAATAAATAAAAAATATTTCAACTTAGTTTTAGAAAATGAAATTTTATCAAAAATTTATTTTCTAAATTGTTTTTATTGTCTAAATATATTTAAGAGACACATATACAAATTTTTGAATAACAGTCTTATAAGAATTCTAATTCAATTGGGTTTTGTATGGAATATTAGTTGGTGGAAGACTATTATCTAAATATTATAGTTTAAGGGATTTCATAATTTTACCTATAATTTTTTGGATAAGATTATTATCTACTAATGGGATTTAATTATAACTTTAAATTGATTTAAATTCAATTTGCCAAGAAATTAAGATCCTAAAAGAGTCCCATACAACATGCTATTTATAATTCTAATTTAACTATACAAACTCTCTACATATAAGTCCTATTGATTTGTTAACAGGGTATTTAATTTTTTACAAGAAAAACAGTAAAATAGTGGGAGGAGAAGCACTGCCTTAGAAGATAGAATTGAGGTATCACATATGAACTTTTGAAAGACTTTACGGGTGTGAAATTTTTATGAGTTTTTTTAATTTTTACATGAATATATTTGTATCATGTGAATTAATAATTTATTTATAATTCTTAATTTAATTAAATGTAGTATAAACCTTCAAAAATAACTAAAGAATCTTCAGAATCTTATCAGCCCACTTTCATTTCCTGCAATTTCTCACCAAACAAACAGAGTCGTCTTAGTTTAAATTAATTCACACCTCAAATTCTTGTTCAATCCTCTAGTCCTAACGATTCTAACCGGCAAGCTTTCTTCTTGATCTCACTCTTTTGGACCATCTCCCATATTTCTAAGGTTTTAAGGCAATTCTATGATTGGTGGGAGCCGGCTAGCTGGTAGCAATGGATTCTGTGGATACTCGCGATGGGGAGACACCTCTGATTGTGGATAATTTGCAGAGTCCAACCCCAAAGAACCACACGAGAGATATTCATATCTTAAGCGCTGCGTTTTTGCTGATCTTTCTTGCCTATGGAGCCGCACAGAATTTGGAGACTAGTGTCAATGCTGTGAGTTTCCATTTCATGATCCTGTTGTTAGAATTTGTAAGTCAAATAGCGATTGAATTTGGAAAAACTTGTGTGTTCCATCTGATTTCGAGAAGGATTTGCCTTTTATGTTTTTGTAGAATTAGATTGTTGAGTCACTGATTTTGATGGTTCTGAAATTGAATTTGGTTTCAGGCAGGAGATTTGGGTACAATATCACGTGGGATTTTGTATGTCTCTTTCATGTTTTTCTCTTTAGTGGCATCTTTAGTGGTTGTGCTCTGGCATTCAAAGAATGCTCTGGTTCTGGGGACAAGTGGTTATTGGTTGTTCATACTAGCAAATTTGAAGCCATCATGGTAATTACTTAGCCGTGCTCTTAATTGGATTCCGGTACTCTGCAACTAAATATCTTTTAATTTCACTCTTGTAGGTACACCACGGTGCCAGCTTCTTTGTTTCTTGGTTTTGCTGCCTCAATAATATGGGTCGGTGAATTGCGTTCATATTCTACATTTTTCTGGCTCTTTCAAGTTTCATTTTATTTTATACATAACAACAATTGAAGTTGTAACTCCAGCATTTTCATCTTCCTAACCATTTTGGTTCCACCATGGGACATACCTGACATCCATTGCACGCAGTCATGGAAGAGATTACAACTCTCATGAAGGAACAGTAATCGGCAAATTCAATGGAGTATTTAGGGAAACCTTTGCCCTTCACCAGGTGCTCCCCTGATGAGTGCTTAACAAATTTATTATATTAGTTTGATCATAATAGCTTTTTCCATCAATCAATTTTAACTTGCTCACAGACGTTTTAAATATTAACCCTGCTTTCCTAAATTTCAGTTTGTTGGAAACCTTATGCCACTTGCACTGCTGAAAGATGGAGACGTACGCTGCTTTCGTCGTTAGGCTACAAATGCTTCTCTTTGCTTTTGGCTAAACTCTATGATTTATCGTTTGTTTACCAAATTTTCTACTAAGTTCTAATAAATTACTCTTTGTTTAACATGTAGGATGGGAGTACCAGAGGAACAACTCTGCTCTTTGTCGTGTTTCTTTGTCATATGACACTGGGCACTATCCTTATGTGCTTCTTAGGCAAAACTGACAGCAAAGAAGAAAAGGGACCAGCTGATTCTTCTGTCAGTTTTTATTCTTCTGCAGTATCTCTTTTGAAGTTGGTTATCATTCCTTTGCTTGACAAACGGATGCTATTGATCATTCCCCTTATTGCCTACTCAGTATTACAGCAAGCTTTTGAATGGTAATTCATCAATCTTTCCAGTGCCAACTTTTTTCCCTTTTTCTTTTTTCATTTTTCTTCTTTTTAGTTCCATTTATCTTTAACATGAGATGTTTTCAATTTCAGGGCTGATTTTACCGTATGTTGTGAACCCAGCCCTTGGAGAGTCAGGTGTTGGTGGTGCAATGGCAGCGTATGGGGCTTTTGATGAGATGGTAAGTAATGAGATGCGGTAATGCGTTAGTTTATTGCTTTAAGTTTTACTTCAAAATGAATATTTTGTGAGATTTAGCCCCTTAAGCATCATATTCCAAGGAAATCTCAACTGAATACTCTGATTCAGGTCTGAACTTCATGTTAAAACTTGTTTCAGTGTTCACTGGTGGCTGGTCGACTAACCTCTGGTCTCACATCAATTACTTTCACAGTTTGTGGCGGTCTTCTCGGTCAGGCTGTGATATTTATCTGCCTTCTGCTAAACTCCAGGTCAGTACAACCACAAAATAATGTCATCAGGGCTCCATCAGTCAAGTTTTGGATCCCTCCAAGTTCCCATCCAACTCTCAGTTTTATCTCATTAATTATGATGCAATGCAACCAGTGGAGTACTTGACACTGTATACCTGCTTCTCATGGCAGCTCTTCTGGGTGTTGGTGATGGAGTATTGAATACACAGCTGAGTGCTTTGCTGGCACTACTGTTTAAGCGTGATACGGTACTAACTAATCCTGTTTCAACATGTTAATTAAACTTTAAGCACCTTTTCTGAGGTGCCAATCTGTTTGTTTAATCCAAAATTGAAGCAATCTATGAATCTCTACTAAATAAGCATTGCTCCCGTGTCCAGGAAGGAGCATTTGCCCAGTTCAAGGCTACCATTGCAGTCATATTCTTCCTGAGCCCATACATCTCGATGCAGGCAATGGTGGCAATCATTCTTGCCGGACTCTGCGTTTCCTTGCTCACGTTTCTCTTCCTTATTCTTAAGATAAAGAGAGAGTTTCTCACCCCAATTGGTAATATTTCAGCAAGCTAGCATGTGATAAACGTTTCTTCTGACTTCAGCGTCCCACACTTCGATAGCTTATGATTTTAGCAACTATAAAATTAATCCATCCAATTACAAATCTTGTCTCCATTGTCAAACTCACTATTAAAACCCACTTTTAGCCGGTTATTTCATTTACTCCTAGTCTCATCTCTATTTTCCATATTCTCCCAGCAGTTGGATGAATTTTCAACCTTTTATATTGAGTTGCTCATGAATTAGTTATTTTTTATTCTTTTTACTCACTTCATTTGAGTATTTTTAATTTGAATTTAATTTTTTTTTTACAGAAGTAATATTTATTTTTTTAAACATATTACAATTATTGATAAATTAACTAATTAGAGAAAGAGAAACAGTTTCCGTAAAACAACCCACGATACCAGATCAGGCTGTTTACTGAAGTAGCATTTATTAAATGTTAATATTATAAAAAAAAATCATTGGGAATAAATCAAAACCATATTCTTAACAAATTATCTTTAGTTTTAATTAAGTATATGATGGTTTCATTCAAAAAAAAAAAAAAAAGGAATTTTCTTCTAAACAGTTAAACCTGGCCGATGATCGTGGCCGGAAGCCAGTAATCGTTAATCTCTTATCAAACGCGTGTATCAAAACCAGCCGGTCGAGTCGTAGAGTCGCTCTGCGGTTCAACCAAAAAAGCTCGCCTTCATCTTCTCCACCAACTAAACCCCCTAAAAAGATTGTAGCTGGCTCGATAGTAGTTGAAATTAGGTCCCCTTCTCTACCCTCTCCTCCTCCTCTTACAAAAACCCCTCCGCCATCCTCCCTAACAAATCCTAATCTTAATTTAATTCTTCAAGATATGCCTTTCTCTTGCTTCGCTTCTCTGTTCCACAAGCTCTCCTCGCGGTGGCCGCTGCTGCCCTACGCCGCCACCTGGACGGTTCTCTTGACGGTAACAGTTGCGGTGGCCTCGTTCTCGCCGGAGGTTGCGTTTGTGTCGGCGATATCGCCGTCTTCGTCTTTCTCTCGACAGTGCCGGAAGGAGGGATCTATTAGGGTTCCGTTAGACTTGCCGGGAGAGATCCTGTGCTTTCCGGTTCACCTGTTCGCGAGGTCAAAGTTTGACGTGATTGTGCCTCCTGTATTTGCGGCGGTAGTCGTGGCAGGATCCGTATGGGTGGTCCGGGCCTTCGTCTAGTGACAGCTCGATTAGGCCCGTTTTGTCAGCCCAATTACAGGTAACGTTTCCATTTTGTTTTATTTTTTATATTACAAATTAGCTGCCTCTTAGTAGAAAAGTTTTAATATTTAATTTTGATTTGAATCAATATTTTTCTTTGGATATCAATTTGACTAAGTTTCTGTTGACAACATTTTCATTTAGATTAAACACTTTTAAATTACATCAAGTTAAGATGAAAAAAAAAATTTCTAATTTATATCTTAAAAATCACATATTAAGAATTTTGAAAAAATAAAAAATAATATTTAATTTATTAATTGTTTAAAATTAATATTTATTTCTATATTACTCTAAAATTAATATTTTTTTATATAAATTTATTGTAAAAATGTGCCTTAAAGCACAAGTTAAAAAAATCCAAAGAAAAAAAAGTATAATTTTGAGGGAATATAAATTTTCTAAAGTGATCAAAGTTGATATGGATGAATTATCAAATTATTTAGCCCAAGATCAAATTCTTAAACTTAGATCAACTCACACTCACCTTCAATTGAATAAAATTAATCGGTCATAATCGTATTAAAAAAGAACATGAGATTGTGTGCGATCATTCTTCTTTCTAAATAGATCATTAGAGTCAAAAAGTTTGGTTAGGCAAAGACCTTAATTTGTATGTGTTATGTTCTAAGTTTTTCGTTTATTTCATCAGTAGATAGATGTGTATGTGTAGAAATGAAATGTAATTTGTAAAAGGGAAAATGAAATCAAAATCGCTGGGTGATTCATTCGTTCCAAAAAATGGTAAAACATAAGCAGATTTCGACGAGTTTTAAGCTATATGTGCATAAACCTGAATTAGAATTACATTTGAGGCTTTTGTTACTTTCTCAGGAAACAAGCAACAATCAAATGGAATGGAAACTTGAGAGAAAACAGCTGGAGATTACTCCCTAGAGCAGGGGAACTTGCTTTTAGCATATAAATGTGTATATGTAAATCTAGAAGGCAGCTGAATTCAAGACTTTGAAGCAGAGCTAATCAAGTGGATGGTGGCACTTGTGAGTAATCTCGTTGCAGTTTAGAAACTACTTCCCTGTTACTCCTTTTAAGCTTAGGTGGAGTGCCACATGGCGCCCATGTGATATAATTCAGCTCTCTTAGTTTTACTAGGAATTAATGAATATTGAAAAGTGATTTTTAAAACTGTCAAGCAATCTTGAAAATTCATAATCTCTTAATAGATATTAAGAAAAAGAAGTATATGACGAAATTTATTTTGAGATAAACAAAATGGATGTTTAACTTTTTTGAATTTGTAAATTTTTATTTTGATTTTGATTTTTCATTTTTATTGTAAATCTCACTATATATATATATATAGCATCAAATATCATGTCTTGTGATTTTGGCCAAAAAAAACAATTTTTTTTTATACATGTCAATCCAAGTGTTCTACCTGAACCTGAAGCCAATAACATTGATTTTTTTTTTTTTTTTGGGTTTTTGGTGATAATGTCCTTCTGTCTTAGAGTACAAGAGACTTTATTTCCTTGATGGTTCTACCCTTCATGATCTTCTCTGAAAAATTAAGATAATGAAAATGATTTGAACACCCAACAAATCAGGGTCCATAGCTCAGTGGTAGAGCATTTGACTGCAGATCAAGAGGTCACCGGTTCGAACCCGGTTGGGCCCTTATAATTTCCTCTCTTTTTTTAACATTTTTCCCTGACATGTCAAAAAAAAAAAAAAAAATCCAAACCCAGATAAAACCCTGACTTATATCAAGCCCACGGGGATCCTGGATTCCCGTACCTTTGGACCGCAGTCACCGCAAGGTCTATTGTTTCTATCGAGCGACATTTGGGCAAATATTCTAAACCCCTTAGAGTCAAGCTTAAGGGTAAAAGCCCAGTTAACTTAACGACTTCAAATTGGGCTCATAAATCTCCTACCTCTTCACATCAGTTCTCTGTGGCAACTCACCAGATCAATAGAAGTTGATAATCTCTTTGAAGGTAACAAAGCTACTATTTTGCAGGGACTCTTTAAAATCACTTGGCAAGTTACTTGAGTAGCAAAACTTATGTTGGATGTGCCTGATTACTCCTGTTTTCCTCTGTTAGTTACTCCTCCTATGTTGTTTCTGTAAACTTCTTGTCTCGTAGATTGAACTTTTTTATTTTTTGAATGCTTAAAAGGATTTGAATTGAATACATTAAATTTGAATAAAGACCAGAGTCATTGATTGATTGCTGACAACGTTGCCACCTGAGTGACACTCCAATAACTCAATACTTAAATGTAACTTAAGACAGCACTAAACAACTTTGGGAAAGTTATGAGCGATTTCGTCCTCACTGCTGGACCAAACCCCTCGTGGTTATACATCTGATTTTGTAAATCGCTTAATAATGGTGTGTATCACTTAATTTCATAAGTTA